CTTCTTCTCCTCCTCCTCCTCCTCCTCCTCCTTCTCCTCCTCCTCCTTCTTCAAGATATCCAACTAAGTCAAATTAATACAGCCCATATGTGCATGGGTGTGGAGCCTAGCTTATCAGTGGCTATATACAAATGGGGAATGTTAACTCTCTTTCCTAGTCTAACTATCAAGGCCACTTATTCCTTAGTTGGGGTGAAACCTCAAGAGTTCCTTCCTCATCCATGCTGGAGTTTTTACTGACTTGATCTTATGTGGGTCTTGTGTGGATAACCACAATGACTGAATTCATGAGCACAATAAGCATGTCATACACAGAAGACAGCATTCCTCAGAACCTTTCCCTATCCTTCAACTCTTCTATTCATTCTGGTTCCTCTATTGCAATTTAAAATATATAATATAGCAGTCCACCATGGATTGTTTTTAAAGTTCTAGATTCATTAGTTTATTTGTAGTATCAGAAAATACTGAGTGAACATCCATCTACTCTGTTTCTACAAGATGGTTTCCTATTTTCTAGAAACTTCTTAATTAATAGCTTTTGCCTAGGTCAGGAATGAATAATAGCTTTCTACTTTTAAAATGTCCTGTTTTGAATAAAATGCATACAGAAAACTACACAAGAAATGAAGGCAACTGGAGATATGATGTTTGCTGTACATAATACATCAGAGAATGTCCATGAAATCCTTATGGAGCATGAATTGTTTGGAGAATGAGTCTCAGATACAAGAAAATTTGTATTATATGAATAATGGAGCCTAAAAGAAAATCCCATTGCATTTTCTCATGCTATTCCCACAGATAAACCTGGTATTCTACTTTCAAACTATATGGATTTTGAGGAGCAAACTTTCTTCCCTCAATAAAGAAGTTTCTACTCTTCAGGACACCAAGTAAGAATTACCAGAATCAGCTTTTCCCATTGCAACATTTTCTAGGGGAGAAACCCTTGATGGAAAGTATGGTAATGAGTGTAGCTGTGGTTCATAGATAAGAGTCTTGGTTAACATGTATGAAGCTCTGGCTCCCATACACAGACCAACAAGCAAAAACACAAAAACATACAAATGTAGACAACATACCCACCCCATGGTCATAATTAGGGACAATGAATAGAAGAAGTAAGAAAATTCTGTATTTCAAATAAACCAGTATATTTCTTCAGTTATGTACTAAAGAAATTTTTATTATTTAATTTTTGACCAATACATGTTAAGGGAGAAAGGACCTATTTTACTGCACAGGTCTTGAACTGTGTGTAGTCCACAATCATAGGGAGGTCAAAGAAAGTAGATCTTGAAGTACCTGGCCTTACTTCATCTATAAATGAAAATAATATGGTGATGAGTGCATTCACATATACAGATCCCTTTCTACATTTTATCCAGGACAACGTCCCAGCTCAGCAGATGATGCTGCCCACATTGGTCAGGGCTTTCTTCCTCAATTACTGTAATCAAGACAATCCATCACAGACATTCCCAGATGTCAACCTTAATTTTAATACTCCCTCACAGGTGTTCTCAGAAGCAGACCATTTAGGTGATTTTAGTTCCTACTAAGTAGACAATTGATATATACAATTGTAATGGTTCACTTTCAAACCATTACATTCTACTCCTTGTTCTCACAGGCTCACAGCCTTCTCATAATAGAAAATTCATGCAGTCTAAATAAAAAAACTCCCATAGACATTAACTGTTTCAACATCTTAAAAAAACACCAAAATTCCTCAAGTGTGAGCTGCTATAATTTTTTCTTTTATTCTTCTTTCATACATGATATCTTAACTAAAGTTTTCCCCCTGCTTCTCCTCCCAGTCCCTCCTCCCCATCTCCTTTTCCCCAGATCCATTACCCTTCCAAAAAAAGATTAGGCCTCTCAGGGTTTTCCACTGAACATGGCTTTAAAAGCTACAATAAGACTAGGCACAAACCCCCATATCAAAGCGGGGTGAGGCAACCCACTAGGAGGAAAAGGGTCCCAAGAGCAAGTGAAGGGGTAAGACACAGTCCACTCCAACTGTTGGGACCCTTGCAAGAACACCAAGCTACACAACAATAAGGTATAGGCAGAGGACCTAGCTTAGACCTGTACAGAGTCTGAGTTTATTGCTTCAGTCTCTGGGAGCCCCTGTGAGCTCCACATACTTGATTCTTTGGGCCATCTTCTCATGGTATCCTCTACCCCTCTGGCTCCTACAAATTTTCCTCTCTATTTCTGCAGTTTTTCCCTGGCTCCACCTAATGTTTGTTTGTGGGCCTGTGTATCTGATCCCATTAGTTACTGCATGATGCCCCTCTGATAACAATTTGGCTAGACACCAGTCTATACGTAGAACAGAATATCATTAGGAAACATTTCATTGACTATTTTATTTGCCAATCATATTTGTTTCTATCAGGGGTCTCTGGCCCATCCCGCCTCTGGTTCCTGGCCATCCAGGCAATGACATGTGTGGGATCACTCTTGTGGTGTGAGCTTCAAGTTGGACTAGTCATTGGTTGGTCACTCACACAAGTTCTGCATGACCATTACCCCAGCACATTTTGCAGATAGGACAGATACACATTTTTTAATAAGCAAAATATTTCCAAAATACTATAACACAACACATAAAAATATGATTTCCACCAATGCTAACTAAACATATGGTGAAAGCCTGATGAACAGTATATAACTTTATTGTCATTGTTTTCTTCCAGGATGATGACATTTAAAGCCATTGTTCATCTATTTGTATTGGGATGTTCTTGGGGCATTGGCTTATTTATGGTCATTGAATTTGGGAAGACAGTGAGATTAATCATTGCCTATCTATTCACCATCATCAATATCCTACAGGGGGTTTTGATATTTGTGGTACACTGTCTGCTTAATCGCCAGGTAAGGCTGTCTCATTTCTTAACAACCTAGCACCAAAATTATCTTAAACCACTTGCTCACATTCTTGGAGTTTCTCATTTTTATTTTGAAATCTTCATTTATTTAAGGTAGTTTCAAGTTTTGTCTATATATTTCACACATTGTGTTTTGTGTCTTGTCAGCATCTAAGCATACGCCTTAAGGGCATGTCAAAATGAGGTGGGCTATGGTGCATTAATAAATGGTACTTTCTTACCAATTTTTCAGCCATGGTGGCTTAAAAATTTAGGATTTCTTTCTTGTCCATTGTATATAATTGTCACTTGGTTGAATTAGTCTTTATGAAATGAAAAAGTTTTCACTTGACAGTGATTTAGCCTGGCATTATGGACAAAATGTAGGATAATATTTGTCTCAAATAAATGGGAAGGAGAATGCATGTAAACCACACCTTAGATCTTAAAGGTTATACATAGCAGTTACAGATATCATCATTTCTACACACTTTGATTATTCAAAACAAACTTCATGATCAAATTTCAGTTCACCAGAGAGGTGATTGGTAGTTCCCCTGTTGTGAGCTGTATTGTATAGGGTAACACTAGGATATTTGGCACAATGCACCCCACCCTCAGTTCTTCTATTTAGTAGTTTGTTTTGTGACCTCAAAGAGGATGTCTATTCTCTCTGAGTCTACCTTATCATCTGGAAGTGTTATAATGTCTTATTTTGAAGGGTTAGGATCCTATAACACAGTACAATATAATTCAGGAGCACATGTCATTTTTTTTGTGACTGTCACTTTGATTATAATTTTATCTCTATTAACAACGATCTTTGGTGAACTTTTTGTTTGTTTGCTGTTGAATGTAAATAGCAACAGTTAAAGTGATAATACAAATGTACCATCAATATAGTATTTCATTAATTCCTTTTCAATATTTTGGCCCCCCCTATGTTTGGTACTCCTCCCTCACAGTGAAATGACTTAGGAAAAGTTAGGTTACCTTGACTACATACCTCCTCCCCTTTGGAGGCTTGTTATTAACCAGTTTCTCCCTTCTGATAAAAGATGCTTACTAGGTGTTTTACAGATCAAATGGTTCCTTCTTCCCTGCTAGGAGATGATCATATGCAAATAAAAGTTTTCTCTGAAGATATGAGTCTGGTGTGATGTTTTACAGATTAAAAGCCCCCTATTTCCTTTTGGTTGTAAAACAGCCCCTTGGCCTGCAACTGATGTCATATAATTACAGCCTTTTAACTTTAAAAACCCTTACCCTACCTTGATTCACTTCCAAGAGGGTTTTTTTTTTTTTTATGAAGGCTAGCGTGCTCTTGGTAAGCTTTCTAATAATGAAGGACTCACTATATTCTTAATGGGATCTAGTATGCATGGCAATCTATAACTTTTTTAAGTTAATTATTTCAACAGAAGTAAAATGCAATGTGGGTGTCTTTGTGAAATAATATTGAGGAGCAAAAAGTTCAAATTATATTTTTAATATGACAATTATTTTAGAAAGGCATATTACAGAATTGTATGGTGCACTTTTATGTATACTATTAAATGTTACTTTCAGAGGACTTAGATTATATCAACTTAATTAGAGATTAAAGATGGATTTTTTCTATTGAATTAATGTGAAAGTTAAAAGTTATGCTGCTTAAGTGCCTCACATATATCTATTGTTCAGTAAAATTTTCCCACCATTATCACACTCTTATCATGCTTTGCCTCTTCATCCCCATCACTATCACCATCATCATTCTATCATTGTCTTGCTCGCTATCATTACTATCACATCCATCATCATAGTCATCTTATTACCACTATAATTATTATAACCATCGTCATTATTTCATCATTCTCATCACTGTTGCCACCAATCATCATATTTTTCAGTATTAACACTATCATAATTATGATGATCACCATCATATTTACTATCATCATCAATATCACTATCATCATCATCATCATAACTATCACTTTGGTCACTGTCCCCCTTATTACATAATCATCATCATTATCATCCCTAACTGTGACTACTATGATCATTAGCATTATTTTTATTATCACTAACATTCTCATGATTATCATTATGACCATTATGACAACCCTTATCTTCATTATCACCATCACTACCATCATATTCCACAGTATCACAATCATACAATTATACTAATCACCACCATTTTCATTATCATCATCAGTGTCATTTTCACCACTAGCAACATAATCAAATCCTTTGGGTATTTAACACAGATTCCTTTTTATATTGGAAGAAATTGAATTTAAATAAAATTAACAAGCTCAAATATATGCAGAAAAACAATAAGAGTAGAATTTGGCATTCATGTCTTTTGTATTCCATGTTATGCAGATTCCCTTTCCTTGAACCAGGCTCAAGGTGTGAGCCATGCTTCTAATTATTCATTCAAACTTCCAGGTCCGAATGGAATATAAGAAGTGGTTTTATAAGATGCAGAAAGGGGTTGAAAATGAAAGCACTGAGATGTCTTATTCCACTACTCACACCAAAATGGTAAGCTCAACTCCCTAGGTAAGCTTCATGTGACCTGATCTGGTTTCTCATGCAAACAAGTTTCCTCTCTGTTCCTTGCAAAAAGAAATTAAAAATATGGCCTACAGTATACAGCCAACAGTTTATAGATTTGGCACTCAAATTCCTGCCTTCATTCCCTAATTTTTTCTCGCCTTCTTCCCTTCATTGCTTCTTTTCTTGATCCTGTCTTCTCTCTCTACTCCACTCACATCTCTTTACTCTTCAATATTCCTTCCTCTATTCCTTCTTCCTCTTTCAATCTCTTCGACTGTTTTTCTGTTCACTATCATGAGTATGTATATATTCACCTCAGAAGACTCCAGTCGGTACTCATTAGACATAAACAGTGAAAAATCTGTAAAGCAGTACAGGATGGTTCAGCCTCTGGTAAGATCAGAGTTTTGTAGTGGAGTTGTAAACTGAGAGTTCCCCTACCCTTTGCCTTAGCGCTTTCCAACCTGCTTCCTTTGAGAAAAGACACATAACTAATCTTCCTTCTCCTTACTGAGGCCCTGACCACCCTCTGCTATGCTCTTCACTCCACATCAGAACATGGACTTTCTATGCTCATATCCCTCCCTGTATATGACTATCCCAGTCCCTGCAGCTATGGGAGTTTGTCCATAGACTCTGAATCAAGATTTTTTCCAAGTATTATGTTCCTCTGAGAAATCTGGCCAATAAAAAAATAGGACCCTTCTCAAGAAGGTTCCTGCTTCTGGTTTACTGGCTCCTATGAGCCATAGAATTGAGTTCTTATATTATGCTAACTTTCTAAGCAGGAAGAGTCACACTCATACCCACCCTCTCCCATACCCAAAGGCACTAAGATCTGTGCAATTGTGGGTTTGAGAGGTAGTACATTCAGTATAGTGTTTGCCTGATTTCTATCCCTGGCACCTACAGAAAAAAAAAAAAAACAGGCATGTTGTTGCATGTCTGTAATCTCAGCACTGAACAGATAGAGTCAAAGCTCTATGAGCTCCCTGGACAGCTGGTCTACATGAGTAGGTGAACTCTTGACCAGTTACAGATGCTGTTAAAAATGAATGGATTTTGAAAAATAACACTGGTGACTGTCCTCTGACCTCCATTTGTGTGTATATCCATGTACACATGCACTATACAAACACTTGAGTGCAAACACTTTATGTGAAGTTTAATCACTTTAGCTAATGCTATGTAGTTATTTCTAAGTAGCCTTATGCTTGTACCATCTAGTTCCCATACAGTTTACTTTCAAAGTACAACAATGAACCTTCATGAGAGCTATACATATATAAAGACTTCAAGGTGGTGCATTACCCATTGGCATTTTGTATGTTCAGAAAACTGATTAGACTGAGCAGTTTACTGGGAAGCCACAGACTCTTGAGTGCTGAGAGTTTTGCTCCTGAGCTCATTTTTTCTTTGTGGCCATGGTGGTATGCTGTGTCCATGGATCTGTTAATATGGATAATAGTCTCTTTGAGGGGGGAGGACAAGATCTGTTAGTACAGATAATCTATTTAAGGGTAAAGGACTGGGGAGATGGCTTAGTGAGTAAATAAAGCACTTGTTATACACAAGTGGGAGCTTGGGTTCACATCCCAAGTGTCCATGTGAAGCTGATGTATTAACTCAATTTTTAATCCCAGTGCTAATGCATCAAGATGGGATACAGACACAGGAGACTGTCCAGACATTCAGGAGCACTATTTGATAAACACAGCAGCAAACACAACACCCTGTCTCAAACAAGGTTGGAGGCTACAAATGACACCTGAGGCTGTCCACTGACCTCCATTGTGGAAGACAGGCATGTGTTTACTTTTACTCACACACGTGAACACACACACACACACACACACACACACACACACACACACACACTTCATACAGAGTGCACAAAAGACAAATGAGTATAATGATTCTCTTGAAGGGAAGGAAATGTGCAGCATTAACAAATGACAATAAAAGTCAATGGGTGTGGTTCCATGCCTCTATTAAAGAAGGTCTGTACAAGGTGCCAAATTTCATTCAAAAGACTAGAGAGATCCATCAGGAGGGTCAGGTCAGAGAAACATGCACTGTTCTGCAAGGAGACTGTACATTCCTTGTCCTCCTCTTTCATATTCTTTCTTTCCCTCCCCTCCCATCCCCTCCTTTTGCTTGTCTTCCCTACTTTTCCCTTATTTTCTCCCCTCTCCATGCTTTTCTTTCCTTTCCCATTTTCTGGTTAATATTCATTGTCAACTTACCTGTATTTAAGATCACCCAAAAGATTTACATCTGGTTATTCTGTGTGTGAGTGTTTCCAAAGAGATATAATTAGGGAAGATGCCCTGAATGTAGGTGGCACCTTCTGCTGGGATGGAGTATTATATTGAGTCAAAATGGAAAAAGAGGAATATATAATAGTGAACAACCCCCTTTCTATGGTTCCTGATCTTCCTGGGTGTGAGAGTCAGCTTCACATTGCTATACATGGGAACTGGTCCCGCCACCCTTCCTTTCATCCCATAATTCACTAAACCCTGAACCATGAATGAAAACAAACCCTTCCTCTCTCTAGTTATTTCTCAGTCACTTCCCAAATTCACTTTGTTTTCTTCTTGATGAACAGATCAATTATAATAAAGATAAAATTCACTGTGATATTTCTATCATACAGGTAACATTGTTAAAACAAATACTACATCTAGTTAATGTGTCTCTTGGCCTAGCTGTTTTTATTCTGTATTAAGCATTAGCTAGCATTCAACATTAAAATACAGATTTTTTTCTTTATCTTGTGTTAATTTCTGTGTCTATAGTACATTTCACTAAAATTAATGTCCTTCATCTCCATCCATGTTTTCTTTAATTTAAAAAATTATATATAATTGGGAGGAGGTCGTTCATGCCTTTAATCCCAGGATTCAGGCAGGCAGATCTTTGTGAGTTTGAGGCTAATCTGTTCTACAGGGTTGGTTCCAGGATAGCCAAGACTCACATAGAGAAACACTGTCAAAAAAAAGAAAGAAATCATTAATTTATTTTATGTAATTTAGTGTTTTTGTCTATTTACCTGGTGTCCGCAGAGGTCAGAAGAGGGCATCAGAAACCTTGGAACTAGAGTTACAGACAGTTATGAAACACCATGTTGTGAAAGAAATCACACTCAGATTCTCTGAAGAGCTTCTGTTACTCTTAACTGTCAAACCATCTCTCCAGCCTCTCCATTTTTTTTCTAAATATATGAAAACTTATTGTGGCTCTATAAAGCTCAGCATGTATGCAAACCATATTTTCATTATTTATCTGACAGTATGTATTTCTGTAGATTCTGTATCTTAGTTTTATTGAATAATGAAACACTGAGCAAGCTCAGACAGGTATCTCTGTGATGTGTCAATGATGAATCTGCTGAGATAACATTTTTGCTCCTGTAGTTACTAGGCACGTTAGTTAGTTTCCTATTGCTGTAATAAGACATCATGACCAAGGCAACTTATAGAAGAGTTTAATGGAAGCTTGCAGTTTCAGAGGGGGAGTCCATGCTCATCATGAAATTGAGCATGGCTACAGGCAGGTAGGCAGACAGCCATAGCACTGGAGAAGTAGCTGAGAAAATACATCCTGATCCACAAGCACATGGCGGTGGGAGTGAGACACTGGGAATGGTATGGCCTTTTGAAATCTCACAGCCCTCCTTTCTGAGACAAACCTACTTCAACAAGGCCACATCTCTTAAACTTTCCCAAATACTTCTATCAACTTGGGCCCAAGAATTCAAATATTTGAACCTGTGGGGGCCATTCTTATTTAAACCACCACACTGGTTAGTCTGTCTGAACCTTGATCTATTCATCACAAAAATGTAATTGAATGAGAATCAGAATGATATCCATGAGACTATTCTTCTTTATTGTAATTCTATTATCATAGTTACATTTAATTAATGTCAAATTTCAAGAACCAACTACATAAAAATGATCCAAATGCTAGTCAGAAACTCATATGTTTAGATGTCACATTTCAGTATAAACGATCCATATTTATCCTTATAATTTCAGTAGATTTTCTGCGGCATCTAAATGGCCAGTCATTTTTATATTTAAATGGAGTCAAAACACATAAGTTCAAATATCCACTTCTAGGAAATGTGGCCTGGACAAGGCATTTAATGTCTCTTTGTTTCAGAGTTCTTCTCTGTAAAACAAAGATAATATCAATCTCATCACAAAGATTAAATGATGACCTGTTTGATAATACCTAGGAAAATATGAGAGACCACAATAAATCTACTGTCATGTAAAAAGAAAAAGTTTGATAAATACTGCAGATGTGGGAGTGGTGTGGGATTCTAAAGTCAGATACTAGATTGTGTTTTCAAAGCTTTAGACCTTAACAAAGTACTGTTATCCCAACATGATCTAGAATTTTAATTTCTGTGGAGTGAATTTCTCTCTAAATGTCTATTTCTTATAGGAGGAAGCTGGATGTCAGCAGAACTGACTCACTGAGAATGCTCACAACCTGAGCTCCTGCTTCTTAACCAAGGACAATCATCACACCAATGTGGCCACACATGGACTAGGTTCATGTCACCATTCTTCTATGTGAATTCATCTTTTCAAAATCATTTTGCTATGATTGTTAATGCATAATAATTGTACCTGCACTTCAATGGGAAATTTTTATACATACATACAACTTTGACCGTGTCCACCTCCCTTCACTTATCCTCACTTGATCCCCTTTACTTAATCACTTTTCCTGTACACAATTATTCTTTTTCCTTTTAATTTTCTATACAATGGAGAATCCTAATATTTCTCTTGATACATCTCAGTTAATTACCATGATATGTTTCCTTTGAATTCCATCTACGTTCTTGCAAACAATAGGCTTTTATTCTATTTCAAAATAAAAAAATATTCCATGGGTGATATAAACCACATTTTCTTTATCCATTGAGGCACACCGAGGCTGACTCTACAACTTGGCTATTGTGAATAGCACCATAGTAAATATGACTGTGCTGTTGTGGGACACAGTCCTCTGAGTAAAACAGCTCTCATCTTCATCTGATCAGCCATGACTACTTGCAAGCTTGTTGATTCTCACAGAGGATGAATGGAGAGTGTCAATGGGCTCTCACCTGAGAAACAAGCCATAATTTCCAAGAATTTGTTTGCAATTCTTACCTAATACTCTGGCCTTGGTGTCTCCAGATGTGAGAGTATATAGTCTGCATGAAAGTTAATTGAGAGAGACTCATTGATGCAAGTATGGGGAAGCAACTATCCATCCTTTGTAAAGTCTCTTCAGTGCTGCTGTTCTGAGGTCACCTACATTTGTAAGCAACCTTCACCCAATAAACTCTTTGGTTCCCATGGTGAACTTGAGTGAAGTCTTACTTTGGTTTGTTATTCTACCTTATCAGAAGGGGGTAGACTTTTCTGTCTCTCAAGAGATGGAAATCACTTCCAGTATGATAAGGTAACCACACTCTCACCTTGTGGAGATTATATGCACCTCTGAGTAATTGAATGAATTCATATACCTGCTAAAACTGATAATTGTGTGTTCCTTCTATATCATTGCCAGAATTTTGTGTTAGCAGTCCTTACTGAGCCATTTCTGATGAGGGCTGAAAGCCACATTAATTTTTGGGTATAAAGATAACAGTTTAACAAGAACATTATTACTATGATCATTTAACAAAATTATGTTATTGCATTCTCCCCTAGGACCTAGAACCTAGCCAGCTACATGTTTTGAGACATTTAATGACACCAGACCTAATTTACCTCTTGGAGAATGGGCTTCAAATACAATCAGAAGTAGTTAGTTACTCCTATAGCACTTGGACACCAGAGAGCATATCTTCCCAGGCTAGTCATTATTTTAACTCAAAGGGTTCAAAGATAGGTAAATGTTATGTGACATTGTTCCCAAGGAGACATGAACAAATGTCTGCTCACTCCAAATAGGTAACTCACAGCAAATCAAAATAAAACCACCAAAAATGTAAGTTGTTGAAGTAATGAGTTTTACTGAAGTCACTGACAGGAATGGTTAATTACAGGAGAAGACAGGACTTATGGTGGTTTGAATGAGAATGGCTGTGGTGGTATTGTGTTCCCCGAAATATTGTGCACCCTAATAAACTTATCTGTGGTCAGAGACAGAACAGCCACTAGATACAAAGGCTAGAAAATGGTGCTACTCACACCTTTAATCCTAGCATTCCAGAGTCAGAAATCCATCTGTTCAAGGATATAGTCAGGCATGGTGACACATGCCTTTAATCCCAAGAAGTGAGCCTTTAATCCCAGAGAGTGATGGTAGAAGGCAGAAAGATATATAAGGAGTGGAGACCAGCAACTAGAAGCATTTGGCTGGTTAAGCATTTGGCTGGTTAAGCATTTGGCAGGTTAAGCTTTAGGCTTTGAGCAGCAGTTCAGCTGAGAACCATTTGGATAGGAGGACACAGTCTGAGGAAACACCAAGGTTGACTCTACAACTTGGCTATTGTGTTTCCAGTCTGAGGAAACAAGATCAGCTGAGAAGTTGGCCAGGTGAGGTTAGCTGTGGCTTGTTCTGTCTCTCTGATCTTCCAGTGTTCACCCTAATACCTGGCTCAGGTTTGATTTTATTAACAAGACCTTTTAAGTTTCTGCTACAAATGGCCTCCATAGATTCATATGTCAGAATTCTCCGTCTGCAATTGGTGAAAATATTTGGGTTTAAGAGATGACACACTAGTGGAGATTTATTACTAGGGGTAGTTTTTGCATTTTCAAAAGACCACACCATTCACATTGTCTTTCTGTGTCACTCTTTCTGTCTCCTTCACCCGTGGATCAGATCAAAGGTCACAGCTATGGCTCCAGTACTGTGCTAGCTGTAGCGCTGCAATGCTCCCTGCCATGAAGTTCACTGACTCTACTACCCCCGGAGCCATATGCTCAAATTTAAGTTCATTAACTTATAACTTCCCTTGGAAATGGTCTTTTGTCACAGCACTAAAAAAGTGACTAAGACATGACTCAAAAAACTCCATAATTATAAGCCTGTGTCAAATAGGGGTGGTGACTCATACAACCTGGAAACTTGAAGCACAATTTGCAGGACAGCTCTCAGGTTGTGTGATGTCTCAGGAATCTTGGCTTATCTCTTCTTCTTAAAGGCAACTTTCTATTCTTTTACATTATCTCTCAGTTGTCTTTCCTGCTTGTATGTACTTGGAGATGGAGGGTCCTAATGTATCTGTTTCAGGGATTTCCTGTAGCATTTGAGTACTTTACTTTCAGAATTTAAGATATTTCTTGTGGGATGGAATGTTTCACCTCTTTCAGAACAACCTGTGCCTTAAGGAACTTCCCTCTATATGGTGGTATTTTATTTGTAGTGAAATGTGATTTTAATTGTATATTAATAAATAAAGTTGCCAGGGAGCCAGAGCTATTAGAGCCATAGCAAGAGCATGGCATGGTGGTGGTGGTGCACAACTTTAATCCCAGCACTTGGTAGACAAAGCTAGGTAGATCTCTGTGTGTTCAGGGATACAGCCAGCATTGGAGACATACGCCTTTAAAACCTGGAGGGCTATACTTACAGGCAGTGACAAGGCAGTCATGTGTTTGGGTTTATAACCAATGAGAAGGCAGAACAGAAAGACTATATTAAAGACAAACACAAACGAAGTAGGTCTCTTTCGGAGAGGTAGGGCCACAGCAGGAGGAAGGGGAAGGTATTAATTATGAGCTCTGACCTCTTGGTTTTCTCTTTTACATTGGTTCTGTGTTTCTTAATTAATAAGACAGTAGGTTAAATCTACATTTGGCACCCAATGTGACAAGAATCCATTAAAAACCGCTTGGCTTGGCCACAGGTCTGGTTTCCCACAAGGGCTCCCTAGCCCAAGCGGCCGGCTCCCTAGCCTGCTCAGGTTTGCTTGGCCCCAGGCCAGACTACCTGTGAACTACTTGCTTAAAGCCAGTGCTACAAACAACTCAGACCTGCCCTGCCGAACAGGGCTCCTGCCTGTAAAGCCAACGCACATGGTTGGAGCTTAAGGAAGCCAGAGCCAAGCCTTGACTTGGCTCAAGAGGGAACACATGGCTGGATTTAAGTTTTAGCCAGCTACGCTTTCTTGCATTCTCTCTCTCTCTCTCTCTCTCTCTCTCTCTCTCTCTCTCTCGATTCACACCTCAGACACTAAGTAGCTGTTTTGAAATTCCCTTGGATTTCTACTGTTCTACACAGATTTGATAAGTCACAACATATCAGATAAATTGGGTTTTGTTTGAAATTTTAGGCAGTCTGATAATGAGACAACTATATGAGAAGATTA